ACAACACCTCGTGCGCACGCCCCCGCCGATTTTCTTACCGCCGTCGCCACCCTTGACCTGCAGCGCTTCCGCATCCAGGCACCACGAGCCAGTGCCAGTCAGCGACCCAGGGAGGGTTTCCGCAGTTGCGCCTGTACACGTGTTGGGCGTTTCCCCAGTCAATATGTCATAAAACGACGTCGAAATAACAGGGCAGACGTCCTTATAGTACAAGCTCCCCTTGGACTCAACGATGTGTCCGGTGCACGTCCCGACGTGACGGCGGTCAGAGGAGCAGCGGAACGTCGCTTTGTCCTCCTTATTGCAGAACATGTGAGGGTACCTGGTGGCGAGGTTCTTGATATCCACGCACTTCTTCTGCAGGAACTCGCAGCCGACGTTCTTGCCCCAGCTCATCAGTTCCGCCATGCTCCAATTTGCGCGGTAGTAGCCGAGGTCCGCAAACACCGCCAGCGTCAGCGCCGTGTAGTAGCCGGCGCCAACCGTGGGAGCCATCAGCTCGTCCCGGGCGTTGCGTCCCTCCCAGTGAGGCACCTTCGCTTCCCCGCCCTCAGTGTCCTTCTCCAGCTCCATGCCCTTGAGCGACTCGCAGTTGAAGTGCGCTACCGCCTTCGCCTTGACCGTGTCCCCCGTCACTATCCTGCGGCTATTTCCACGCACACTGGGCTCTGACCTCACCAGGTTCCTGTGCCTCATTGCTTCGTGGCTGAACCCGAGGGCATGCGCCAGCTCGTGTGCGGCGACGCGGACGCTCCACGCCGAGTCGGTCATGTACGCCGGGTTGAAGTTCATGGCGCCGACGGAAGGGCGGAGGTCACCCAACGTGACGCACGTGGCCGCCCACGCCGGAATGTTATGACCGAGTGGCCCAGCAGCAGCGTAGAGGACCATGTCGGCACCAGCCACACCCCCGCTCTTGTGCTCAATTGGAATTGTAAAGTGCTGGCAGTGCCCTGTCAGCACTCGCGGCACATCAATTTTCTCAGCCACTGGCTGCACAAGAAGTCGCTCCGCGTGCAGCTTGACGGCTCCAGGAATAATCTTCGTCGTATACAACTTCTTCTTTTGCTCCGTCAGTACATGATCGGCTTTGCAAGTTACCTGGTTGCCAAAGTAGTTCACGCACTCATCCCCCGCTTCTTCGCAGTACCTCTTTTCTTCCCAACTTCTGAGTTTTTCTGCTGCAGGTCTCCGTGAACACCTC